GAAAAATATAGTGCTCCAAAGTGCTTTAAAATATAACCTTTGTGGAATATCGATTTTGTTTTCTGCCCAGAACATTGAGAATGATTTTTCATCACGAAATTTTACACATTGGTGAAACATTGACCAATCTTTGTTACGTAAAAAATTCAAAGTTTGCATGCTTAGTTTTCTTAATTTACTGCTCATCCGGGTGCACCGGGTGGCTGTGCACCCGGTAGGAAACCTTCATGTCAAGGCAGTGACTTGTTTTCACGAAATAAAATACCTTGATCGGAATTTTCAGTTATTTTCATGGAAACTGAAGCATGTTGATTGGGAATTCCAATTATTTTAGATTAAGTATGAAAGGGATTGTAGCCTGTTATTTTTCATAAAAACTAGTATATGACAAGGGGCTTATAGCCTGTTATTTTTCATAAAAACTACTCCTGTTAGTCTATGTAAAGGAGAGAGATACCAATAAATGAGGGGAGTAAGAGCCCAGCTCTACAACACATCTAGACAAAATGTAATAAATATGAAGAACCAGAAACAAAGAGAAGACATGACGATACTCGTATAGCCATCAGTTGACGATACTATTATCACTGTTCATATGTATTCACATTACTGTGGCAAATACGAGCAACTTATTTTCATGGGAAAAAAAGAATGCCCATTTAAGATCTCCATGCGTCTTATGTGTTCACATTACTAGGGAACGTACCATCCACGAGGGCGGCATTTCTTAAAGCACCTCCATTGAGATTTGAAGTCGTCTTATGCGTTCACATTACTAGGGGACGTACGGTGGTAATACAGTCTACTAAGAGCATCTCTAACAGGCCCCTTAAAACGCAGTTTACAGTTTTAGGTGAAAAAAAGATCGGAATAGAACCCATAAACGACACTGACCTGTAATTTTTTTAAGAGGCACGGAAAACATCCAGGTCAAACCGGTAAAAATAAGGATTTTGGAGACAACCCGAGGACGACCTGTATACACCTCCAACTGCCATCGAAACCTCCTTGAATCGCTCCCGTTTGCCCGTCCCCGGCCGCCGCGCTCGTCCCGACCACCACGCGCGCTGGCCGCCCCGCCCATCCCGCCGTCGGCCGCCATGCCGAACCGTGAAAGCTAGCTAGCTAGCCGGCCGTCCGCTCGAATTGCTAGCTAGCTAGTTAGCTGAAAGCTCGCCGTCCGCTCGATTCATCGCGCTTGGTGGCGAGTACGAGGAGACGGTTGCGGAGGCAGGATGTGCACATGTCGAGGGGGCGGAGGTCGAGATGGGAAGCGCGTGAGGAAGAAGATGGTATATTTAGAGAATATTTTTTTATGGGTTGATTATATATGCTCTGTTCGGCCGCCGCTCGTAAAATCGATCCTTATAATTAATGCTTTTTTCTCGGCTCATAAAACACTTATATGGGTCGCAGTTTTACGGGGTCTGCTAGAGATGCTCTAAGCCTTGGCATCAACGAGAGATAACAATATGATATTTTTATGATGGATTGTCTCCTATTTTATCGTGCGCGATCAATAACCAATTGAATTCTAATTTTAACATCCTACTTTGATATTTTTGACATTAACTATTGAATTTAACAATTTTGCATCTTGATTACCTCATTTAACAAGAAATCCGGATGTATACCCCTTTTAAAGTTTTTTAGGTTGTGGATAGTCCCTCTAGCCGTTTTTTGCCCAAAAAAACATTGCTGAAGTTATGTCTAGTACTTCTGCCGTCCTAAAATAAGTGACTCAACTTTGTACTAGATTTAATACAAAGTTAGTATAAAGTTGAATCACTTATTTTGGGATAAAGGGAGAATGACACAACACCTGAAAGCAAATGCGTCAAAGAAGAATGAGGTTGACGCAATTAACAAGGAGATGTCTGACATGAAGAAGGAACTCGTGCAGGTGAATCGTTCGTACATGTGTCTACCATGGCAGGAAAAAACTATGTCTAGCTAAGCCTGTCTACTTGCTCTGGCCTCTCGCGTCGCCCCCCCTCAGCGGGCAACACGGGGGAATACAACCTCCACCACCGTCGACCCTCCTCGTGCCCGTCCTCCCCTCCGCCGCCGCAGGTGGTCGGCGCTGGGCTAAGCCCGTGCGTGCGACCCGGTGGCGGAGGGCTTCCCCCCTCTTCCCAGATCCATGGGTGGTGCGGGCGCCCAGATCCGCAAAGGTGCGGCCCCCACTTGCCCATGGCGGCGGGGCGTCCCAGCGGCCGCGTCAGTGGTTGTGCCTGTGGAATCGGCTAGATGCACAGGGGGCGACGGTGGCCACGGCGGCGACCCCATGGCTGGGTGGCGACACGCCTGTTGGTACGACCGGATCCGCCGGATCTGGTGACTACCAGATGGCATGGGGGTGCGGCGGCCCCACATGGCCTTCGATCTGGATGCGGTGCTGCCGACGGCTCTTCGCTGGCCTGCCGGAGCTCCAGGGGTTTCATCGTCTCCAACTCGATCTGCTCCGGTACGTGCTAGCTTCGGTCCTGGGAGACTGGTTGTCATCTCCAGGTGCTAGCTGGATCCTTCTGGTCTAGTCTGGATCCTTCTGGTCTAGTCTCCGATGGAGAAGGCAGCGGTCCGTGCACAAGAAGCTGGATGGAGTTCTTCGAACAGATCTAGGTGAAAACCTTCACTTGGCTACATGCCAAAGCCGGCGATGGCGGCGCACTGCGGTGTCGTTCCCTTCTTGAAGGCATCGTCGTGGAGAAGTTCTAGACCACTAGCCGCTACCTCCAGGGGAAACCTTAGATCGATAGATCAGAAGACGGTGGCGCGTTTGTGTCGTTTCCCCCTTGGGCATCATTCTTGGAGGTGTACACGGGCTCGAGGGACCAGTGGACGACGTCTTTGGTGGGGCAGTGCTTCATCATACACACTGATGGTGTCGGATCTCGATGGCATGGCGTCCTAGAGATTAGGCGTATGATGTGTGATGATGGACTCGCATAGGAGGGTGACACTGTCTGGCGTCATGGGGGCGTCTACAGCAGCTAGACCGGGCAAGGTTGATGCATCAGTACAACTCGGAAGATGGATTGGTGGCAGGTGGCGGCGACGACCTGTGAGTGTGCGCCGGACCGGTCTATGCCCCTTAACCGGATGGTGTCCGGGTTGGGGCCTCAGGTCTTAGATGTTAGGTTTGGATGCGATGTCTGTTTGGTATTAGGCCCATACTATCAGCATCCCTTCATCACCTGGATGGGAGTAGCGATAGATGTTGCCTAGACGGTGGCTTCAGTCTTACTGATGTATTACTTTGTAAGGTCTTCTATGAATAATAAATAAAGTAGCTGCACGCATCGTCCAGATGCGAGGCCAGGGGTCTTCCTCCTTTTCAAACAAAAAAAAAGTCGGTCTACTTGCTCGCGCTTTGTTTTTTTATGGGGGGGAGGGGGGAGGGGGGAGGGGGACGCCACATGAGAGATCGCTAAATGGGGTAGAAAACTCACAATACTCTCGCCAAATGGGTAAAATGTATGAAAACCTATTAAATGAGATAATTTGTACAAAAGTATTAATGTAATAAGGGCTAAAACCCATAATTAACTCTTAATTATTATTTTTTGTGACAATATTTTTGACCTATTCATCTGCAAACATAACAGTACAACGAACACAACAAATAATGAAAATTACATCCAGATATGTAGACTACCAAGCGATGAGTAAAAGCACTGAAGCGAGACGAAGGCACGCCGCTGTCATCGTCCCTCCATTGCCAGAGCCGGGCAAAATTTGTTGTAGTAGAAGTCGGAAAGTCGTTGTGTTATGGACCTATAGGACTAGCGCACCATTGCAGCAACCGTCTCCATCGAAAAGTAGTATAGATCGAAAGAATCCAACTTGAAGACACATGAAAGTAAACGAACTATGACCAGATCCGAGCAAAACCATCAAGGACCGATCCACCGGTGACACACTTAGACACGGCCACCTATGATGATAGACTCACCACTGAAACGGGGCCTAGGCAAGAAGAATCTTATTCCATCCTGAGAAAGCCGCCGCCGTCTCATCATTCTGAGCAGGACACAAACCCTAACAAAACTCGAGAAAACATCTAAAAACGGAGCCCTCCCGCCGGTAACGGCCGGGATCCACCATGACGCGATGGCCCTAAGGTCACTGGAGACGAGGCGGACCGGCGGCAGCAACTATGCGAGGCAAAGGAACCCGACTTT